TTTTTTTTTTTTTTTTTTCGCAATTTCCACTCGCGGGGAGCAGGAAACCCGGCGCAGCCGGGCGCAGCGGGCCGCGATGCAGCAGCAGCAACAGCAGCAACAGCAGGAATCACCCCGGGGCAGCAGCGGCAGCAGCAGCAGCAGAGGCAGCAGCGGGCGGCGCTGAGCCGCCGCCGCCGTCGCTACTGAGGAGAAAGCCGGCCCAGCCGCCGCCGCGTTCGGACCCCTGCGCCCCGAGCCCTGATCCCGGAGCCCGACCCCCGCGCCCGCCTCCGCCAACTTTCACGCTGCCTCGGCGGCCCGGCCCGGCTCGACGCCAATGGGTGAGTAGGGGGCTGCCGGCGCCCCGGTGCCCGGGCGCCCACCTCAGCCTGAGGGCGGCGCGCCTGTCCCGGGACTGCGGAGTCGGGAGGGCGCTCCGGGGGCAGGGCCCCGGCGGTGACACCGCGGTGGGCACTCTGCCTACCTCGCGCACCCCCGTTCACTCCCACTCGCGTCCCTGCCGAGCCCGCGCGGCACCGACCGGAACCCCGCGGGGTCCTGGGCGGAGGATCGCGGGCCGGCCCGGGGCGGCTGAGGCTGAGGGATGCAGGGGGTGTGGTTGGTTCTTCGGGTGGGCGGGGAGAGTTTTGTCTTGGCCATTTTCTCGCCCCAGCGCGCCCTTCTCTGCGCTGAGGACGTGGGTAATGGTAGCTGGTGGGCTCCGGCCCTGCGCGGGGGTTCGCGTTGTCTGTCCCTGGCCCCGCCGCGGGGGAAGCCAGAATCTCGGGGTCTCGGCGCGGCCAGGGACCGAGTTGCGTTTGCTGGGGGACGACGTGGTGGTGGGGGGGTGCGGGAAACGCCCCAGTACCCGGCTTGGCGTGCCATCCTCGGGTCCTGAGCGCCTGACGCGTCTCCCTTGGCGCCCCTCTTCTTCCCGGCCCTGACCCTCTCTCTGCCTGCCTTCTCTCAGCCTGGTGAGCTCTCCGCTGCGTGATGCTCAAAGGGCACTTCCTACATCCTCTAAGTCTGAAGGCTTGGGGAACTGGAGCCGGTGATCCAGTCCTCGATTTACTGGTGGAACATCAGTTCCAAGTAGGCAACTAACCATTAGGCCCCTGGGTCCCATCTGGTGTAGACTGGCACATTGGAGCCACCTTGCCCAGAGGATGTGGCACCTTATTGGGCAAAGGACTTGTGATTGCCTGGGCTAGTAATCGTGTGGCCCATCCAGTTAATGTTCTTGCTGGCAGCCAATCTCTGTCTTTCATGCCTTTGGCAGATAATTTTAGGTGTTTCTAGGCCAGGCATAGGAAGGCTGTAGATGACGATAAATCATAATAAAGTGAGACCTTTCTGTGGGCAGGTAATAGGATTTGAGTAGGCGAGTCCAACAGTGATAGGTAAGCGGTCGTAGGATGCCCCTGAAGACGGATGCAGTGGAAAAGGGGAGGTTTAACCCAATCAGTTGTTGACAGGCAGTTAAAATCCCATTTGTGGTCACTGCCATAAATGGTTTTCCTTTTCTAAAGTGGTGGCCATCCAATGGCCTCTCAGCTTCAATGTCACTTTTTTCTCAGTGCCCTTCTCTGGTCCCTGCACCACCTCCAGTCTATATTAGTTTCTCTGTCACCCTTCTCCTCTAGCACCTTTTTAAAAAGAGCGGTATTACATATTTATTTGAGTGTAACATTTATCTTCCCTACTGTAAGCTCCATGACTGTAGGGACAGAACTGCGTGGGTGCCGTTTTGCTCGGCGCTGTTTTCTTTGGTGCTTGGTATGGAGCAGGCCCTGAATAAATATTTATTGAATAAATGAATGAATGAGGGGGTATGAAACCCTCCTACTTGGTGGAAGACAAAATGCTTAGCTCAACACTCTTGTTTTGCTTTGCCATCTAATAAGATGATTTAGTTTATTAACAGAAGCATATACTTTAAACATTACTGATTACTTGAGTAACAGGTTGGTTTCTCCTGAGGTAACTGAAAGTGATTATTTTGATCACCTTTCCTTTTTTTGTGGGTCCCGAGAAGGTTGGACAAAAAAAGAAGTTAGATCCAAATGTCCTCTCCTGTTTCTGGACTGTGCTTTCTGTATCTCAGTGGGAAGAGGAGTCCAGTTTAAGAAGAAACAGACCTGTTTATTATTCGAGTCTGGACTGTTTTCATTATCCAGAGCCTCCTAAGAAAATTAGAGACTGCTTCTGCAGTTTATAGTCCTTTCAAGCTTAATCTTTTTTTTTTTTTTTTTTTTTTTTTTTTTTTTTTTTTTTTTTTTTTTTTTTTTTTTTTTTTTTTTTTTACTGTAAACATTACAAAAGGGAGGGGGTGCAGAAACTGATTTTCATTTGTTTCAGGTGTTACTGCTTAGAGGTGATAAGATTAAAATGAATGCTGTCATTTAATTATTTAAAATGTTTATAGTGGGGCTTAAGATGCCCATAGTTGTTTATGGCTAAAGATCGCCTGCTATTTTCTAAAGCGTCTTCAGCAGTGTATTTGGGATGAAGTACAGGTAGGTAACAGTTCATTCTGCATGTCTTCCGATGGAGCCACCTAACAGTGCCGTTTCTGAAGCAGGTGTGTGTGTACACACAGGCGCCGCCCCCTTCCCCATCCCCAAGTCTCCTTGGTTTGCAAAAGATTTGTTCAGTGTATCAGTTTGATACATTTGCATTCTCACCTGGCCTGGGAATGATTTTTCTGTTGATGGCGAACACAGTAAAATTGTCTTATGTAGTCTTTAGTCTGAAAAAAACCTGAAGTGAAGCCAGTTAGTTGTAAAATGGCCTCTTAATGGAAGCCCGCTCAGAATGTGCCCTCGGAACTTGCAGGCAGATGCCTACAGTGCCAGATACAGGCAGAGCCTCTTGTAATTATGATCACACAAGTGTTAATGATCCCAATGTGTGAACAGTGAAAGATTTGCAAGCCCAGCAAATGATTTTTGTTTAGAAAACTCCAGAGTAACAACAAAGTTTGGACTGTTTTCAGCAATGTATTGTTTTGGTGAGAGATTGCTTTACGCTAAACTAAAGCAAAAATGAATGCAATGCATTGACCTTCACAGTCTAAAGTTAGAATTGGAAGAAAGACTCCACCTTTATCATTCATCACCTTTACTTTGCCCCTTCACGTCCATCAGGACACAGGCAGAACCTTGCTACCTTGCTGGTTGCACAGACCTTCAGTTCTTTTTGCATTACTGATATTCTCTCATCAGCTCTTATGTTTGAAATTGTTTTTTTTTTAATGTTTATGTATTTATTTTGAGCAAGCGAGAGAGAGAGAGAGCATGAGCAGGAGAGGGACAGAAAGAGAGGGAGAGAGAGGGGCTCCCAAGCAGGCTCCTCACTGCCCGTGCATAGCCCGATGTGGGGCTCAATCCACGAACCAGGAGAATCATGACCTGAGCCGAAAACAAGAGTCAAGACGCTTAACTGACTGAGCCACCCAGGTGCCCCTGAAATCGTTTTAAAGCAGGTTGCATACAGTGGCCAGCATTCATCCATTCATCCATCTATCCATCCGGTATTTATTGACCTCCTGCTTTGGGCCAGGCATTGTGCTAGGAATGGGTGCACGACACACATAGACCCGCCAGCTTAGGCTTTTCCGGCTAGTGGGAGAGGTAGGCCTGAGTGCGATACTCATGACAATATGCAGTTATAAGCCCTGGTAGGTCTCGTGAAAGATTAGAGAGGGGCAATGTGATTTAGGTTGCAGAGGGGTAAGGGCAATGTCTTTGAGGAGATTGTGTTTGAGCTGAAATCTGAAAATTGGGTAGGAGTCATCACTGCCCTCCGGTACCCCCGTCAACACATCCGTAGTGGAACAAGCGGTTCTCCTCTCCTGGCAGCGAGGGACAGCGTGCATCACGGGAGCCGCGTCGGACAGGACCCCGCGTAGGACTGGGCCTGTGGGAGGGGCTTTAGGAGGGTTTAAGGAAGCCAGGTGATCTCTGGATTGGATGCTGGCTGGAA